AAATTTCATATAAAGTCATCCAACATGTTCTTTTATGTTTAATTCTTTGAATTTTTATTGTTTTCCTGATAAATAAACCATGAGTCATTGATTTTATGTCAAACTCCCATGTCTTTACTTAGCTTTTATTTCCAGAAGTCTTTGCTGTATGTTATCTATTCTATTATGGAATTAAATATTCCATGTTCTACATAAAGGTCTTTAGGATAAGGCTAGAATATATAAAAGTTCTTTGTATATCAGAAAGATAGAGTCAGTATGGGCTTTGCATAATATGATCCTCTGGTTTCCTTTGTGAAGTTGGTCATTTATTTCACAGAATCATTCTCTAGTGAATTCCAAAATATATGTACATTGGTACATATATTTAGCTTCTACCCTTACTGATCTGTACTGCGCTCTTCTTTGGGCTGTGGTATAAATTCAAGTTGTAGAGGTTTCATAGCTTCTGGCCTGCTATAAAGGAGCCCTGGTTGGAACAGTGGTTAAGTGCTCATCTGCTAAATGAAAGGTCAGTGGTTTGAATCCCCCAGTGGCTCCATGGAAGAAAGATGTGGCAGCCTGCTTCCATAAAGATTACAGCTTTGGAAATCTGGTCGAACAGTTCTATTCTGTTCTTTAGGGTCACCATGAGTTGGAATTGACTCGACGGCAACAGGTTTGGTTTATTTTTTTGTTTTTTGGAAGTTATAACTCTGACTCATTTTTTCCCACTTGCATCAGCGTAGGCGCTCCTCTTTCAAATCAAATGCTTACTTCAGTGTTTAGTCACACAAACACACTCCTTAAAAAACCAAAAAAATAAAATAAAAATAAAAAACCAAATTTGTCATCAAGTTGACTCCAACTCATGGTGACCGTGTGTGTCAGAGTAAAATTAAAGTCCCTACATAAGAAAAGTAATTTCATTATCTACCATGAACAAAAGACAAAAAATTCAGTGTGTCTTTGTGTGTGTGTGTGTGTGTGTGTGTGTGTGTGATAATGGTATAATATCAGCTGAGAAAAACTCATTTAACTTTGACTTTTGGTTTCCGTATAACCCATCAAACCCACTGCCATTTAGTCAAATTCAACTCATAGCAACCCTACAGGACAGAGTAGAACTGTACCATACGTTTCCCAGGATATAAATCTTTACGCCAGCAGACTGCTTCATCTTGCTCCCACAGAGCAGCTGGTGGATTTGAACCACTGACCTTTCAATTAGCAGCCAAGTGCTTAACCACTGAATAGCCAGCACTCTTTAATTTCAGAGTACTTGTTAATTATAAAAATTAATCTGAACTTTTAAGGAATTTCAGCATCACTCTTTATATAGTTTGTATACTTACAGAATTGTGTAATTTGTGTTATTGATTTTGAGTGTCATTTAATCTTTTATTACTCATTTTAAATTTGAGAAGTTTTAAGTAATTTTAGAAACGTAATTACTTAAGTTTTAAGTAATTTATTGAAACAAACAGAAGTTGCCTTCAAGTCCATTCCAAGTCCTGGTGACCTCATACGTTGCAGAGTTGAACTGAACAGTAGGGTTTTCTTGTTTGTAATCTTTATGAAAGCAGATTGATAGGCCTTTCTTCCTTAGTGCCACTGGGTGGGTTCACACTGTCATCCTTTCTGTTAATAGTTGAGTACAAATTTTTGCAACACCTTTAATTGACCAAAAAACAAACCAAACTCACTGCCATAAAGTCGCTTCCAACACATAGTGACCCCCATAGGGTTTCCAAGTCCATGAATTTTTACAGAAACAGACCACCTTATCTTTCTTCTACAGAGTGGTTGGTGGATTTGAACCACCGACCTTTAGGTTAGCAGCCAAATACCTTAACCACTGCACCACGAGAGCTCCTTACCTTTCATTGAAGGATTCCTAAATGTTACTGAATCACCTTTTCCTTTTCACAGATGAGTTTACCTAGAAGAAATAATTAGTTTCATTTCAGAGATAATGTAAAAGTTAGTGTACTACTCTACAGCTAAACTTTTGAGTTTGTCTAGAGAGGTTAGCCAGAGAAGTGGAATTTAGTTGATTCTGAAATTTCCAGAGCAGAAGCAGAGCATCAAGATCAGTTGTAACATTGTTGCCACTTTTGCTCCAGAAGGGTAAGAAGATAGTCACTTGAAAATTGAAGTTGCTACTCCCGGGTTGTGACACATACAGTGAAAGATTACACACAGTCGGGTCAGTTGTGGATATAAATAGAATACTGATCATGGAAGCCCTATTTGCTTTTGTTTTGCAGAATCCAGTGATTTATTTTAAATAAGATGTCACCCTTGTTAAAACCATTAGTTACTGTATCTAAACATGTTTGCATTCCTAAATTGTGTAGTTCTGTCAACAAATTCGTATCCTATACCCTTCCTTAATCAATGTCTTAGTTAATATATCACAGTGAAAATACATATTTGTAATCCATAATTTTGCCAACAGTTTTTCTTTTTAATAGATGTTAGTTGGTATTTTAGTTTATTTTATGCTCTGATAATCTGTAAGAAACTTTCCCTTGCTCCCTACTAGGTATTTAGGAATCATTTAAAAGCTAACTTTTAAAGAGGTCCGTTGAGGCATAGAAATGAAGCTATCCATATTTGTGAAATTTTTAATAAAAAGCAGAAGATACTTTATGTGAAAATTGTGAGACTTGGCTTTCGTATATTAGAAAGACTTGGGGGGTAGGGGAAGCAGAGCCATTCTCACTTGGGCAAGGGATTTAATCCCTTTGCCAATTGACAAAGGAAATCATCTCCAAAACCAGGCTCTTGGCTTAGCCCTGACTCATGTGAAGAGAGCAAGAGTGACTCCATCTTAACTTGAATTTTATTTCTGCTGCTGTGTATGATGGTGGATTTTTTTTTTTTTTTTTTTTTAAGAGACATGTGTTCTGTCATGTCTGAACGTTGGTTTTGCTTGCCTTTGCTTGCACAGGTGTTTCAGGAAAGAGAACAAGTTGTGGTTAAGATGCTTAGGGTTAGAATAAGTTGATATTAAATAGAGACAGACTTAGGACTTTACTGTATCAAAAGCCATTTTATCCCCTTGAATATTAGAACACTTAACATTTTCATTTATAATCATCTTCTTCCTTCAACAAACTCTTTATTTTTCTATTTTAATACTGCCCACCACTATAAGGCTAAAATAGTCTAGTTTACCAAAGGCTGCACATGTCTAAGTAATTTATTGTTTTCAGGAAACTGAGTTTAATGGTTGGCCAATTTCTCTGTTTCTGACTCCTTTACCATACTTGTAATTTTCCACACCTTTGTTCTAACTAGCCCACTTGCAACCTATCAGAAATGCTTTAGCTGTACCTCTCTCCACCAGCCAGTGAAGATGAATATAACTGTACCATAGATGCCCGTGGTTTTGTCTTTATGAACCCTTGTCAGTCCTTGCCTCAGCAGAGTGGCTAGCTTTATCCTGTAAGACTTGCTGACTTCCCAAATTGAGTTGCTTTTACTTCTCAGTAAATCTCTTTTAAAACTTTTCAGAGTCTGGGTATTACTCTTTGAACACAGCCAGTCTCCACTTACATGCTTATCCCATGGTGGCAGAGCTGATTTTCCTCTTATGCAGTTTTCCTGCTACACATACAAGTTACATACGTATTATGAGACTTCTTTCTCTTCAGTAGGGATAAAAAAATCAAAGATTTTTTTAAAACTTAAACATTTTGGAACCTAATGTAATTCACTGCTTCTGATGGGAGAACAAAAATTGACCTTGGGTGCTTTTGCTAAAAGCCAATTTTATGTCCTTGTCTGTTCTTCCTCCTTTCAAATTTCTTCTGCAATCACTCTTCCTTGAAATAAATATGAAAGCCACACCCTGCCTAGCTGCTCCAAACAAGCCTGGTCATCCATTCTTGGTCTTCCACATCTCAACTACATTACTAAAATGTCTTTATTTTCCATTTACATGTAATTTTATTTTGTCTTATCATGCTCATCTATAGTTTTCTTTTCCTCTCTTATTCTTAGCACATCCTTCTCTTAATCCAATTCAGAATACTATCTTTCCTCATTCCTTGATTATTAATCTACATATGTTTTCCTGATCAAGTAAGGCTGTGCCAGCCTTGTATAATAGCTGAAGTAATTTTGGCATTTTTAACCAAAAGCGTGGTGAATCTTACCTAGTTCCCAGTTTCATACCTGGAAGTCCTGGATCTCTTCATGGCTAGGTTTCCTGAACAAATGAATCCATTTTATTAATAAACCCAGTGCCATCAAGTCACTTCCCACTCATAGCAACCTTTTAGGACAGAGTAGAGCTACCCCTTTGGGTTTCCAAGGCTGTAAATCTTTATGGGAACAAACTGCCTCATTTTCTTGAATTACCTCATCTTTCTCCATGGAGCGACTGGTGGAGCTGTGGGTAGGCTTGAACTGCCGACATTTTGGTTAGGACCCAAATGCTTTAACCACTATGTGACCAGAACTCCTTATTTTATTAATACATACTTTAAAAGGGTGCAATTCAGGACTCCATTCAGCTTTCTAAACTGTTTGCATACTGATGGTTTCCCTCATCCTGGATGATTGTCTTTGTTTTGTCCTTGTCCTAAGGCTTAATAAAGTTATTTCTGTTGGAGGGGGTACAAGTCAACATTTTCATGAAACAGTAAATGATATTTTGAACAATTATTCAATAAGTAGTTGCTTGGCAGTTTTGTTTATTTAAAAAATAAATACTGTGTGTAGTGCCTAAGGCATTTGACTGCTAACCAGAAGGCTGGTGGTTCAAACCCACTAGCCACTCCTGGGAAGAAAGATCGGTCAATCCACTTCCATAGATATACTGCCTCAGAAACCCAGGGAGGGGTTGCTGTGAGTTGAGACCAACTCGATGGCAGTGAGGTTTGGTTTTTCTTTGAGTAAGTATATTACATGTTAATCATCCACTTTATTATTGCTTTCTATTGGTAAATAATCTAGCAAGTTTGCATTTCTGGCTGATCTTTTTGGTCCATTTTGTTTGTTCTCTTTAGTTTCATGCTATGGATACACTGTATAGACACAGCTATGATTTGAGCAGTGCAATTAGTGTCTTAGTACCACTTGGAGGACCGGTATTATGCAGAGATGAAATGGAAGAATGGTCAGCCTCTGAAGCTAGTTTATTTGAAGAGGCACTGGAAAAAAATATGGCAAAGACTTCAACGACATTCGTCAAGACTTTGTAAGTAGAAAATTGTGGATAAAATAAAATGTTGGGTTGGAATTATTTGTCTTGGAAATCTGATAAACCTTAAAGTAAGCATTTAACAAGGCTGTGATTTAGGAATTTTTATCTGCTCAACATAAAACAGGAGCTCTGGTAGCATAGTGGCTAAGACACTTGCCTGCTAACCAGACAGCTGGCGGTTCAAACCCACCAGCCACTCCTCGGAAGGAAGGTTGGGCAATCCTACTTCCGTAGTGATACTGCCTCGGAAACCCAAGGAGGGGTCGCTATGAGTCAGGTTTGACTTGACGGCACATAACAACAACAACAACATAAAACAGAGGCCACCTTGACATTTGTGCCGGGGAGTAAATTATGAGTGTCAGAAGACCCAGTTTTTTCCTATAGATCTTTGGCAGTATGAATTTATCCTCTTCATCTCCCTTGAGTTTTCCATTTTTAAAATAGGGACAGTTTATCTCATGATTTGCAGTAAACATTCCTTATCCCAATTTTTAGGCTTACTATTTGCCTTTAAACCTTTGGTATTTTTCTAGGGGTCTTATAAATTGTTGAATCTGGATTTGGTGAGACCTTTAATATGGAAATGACTGAAGTCAAGCAGAGTAGGAGAATTTGTGTTGCATTGTTGATATTTGACTCTTCTTAATGATATCTAGGATCCTATTTACATTTTAAATACCAGCTCAATCTTGTATACTATAATGCACTTCCTTTTGTCTTGGTATTCAGGGATTTTGGTTTCTTTAGTGAAACTTACAATCTCTTTGAATTGGGAAAATTTCTATATGAAGCCCAGAAATAGCTTTCCACAGTATCAATCTTTTTTATTATTATGAAAATAGAGTCCTTATAGACTACGAAGCATTTGTTGTGAGCTAGTATCCTGCCTTTTATTCTCTTACATCTTTTCTGAATTATTTCTGAAGCAAAATTATTACTTATCAATATGGGTTGATACATTAAATACAAAACATAGTAATTGAAGCTGTTAGTGTCACTGATGTTCGTTCTTCTGGCAAAACATCACTCGTACCCATATTGTTATATGTCATGATTTAAATTTATATGTTGTACAGCTGATGAAATTAAAATGTACTGTTGACATTTAGTTTCAGATGGTCAGAATAACACAGCATTGCAATAACATTAATATTCATGTAATATAACATAATATAATAGGAGCTCTGGTGATGCAGTGGTTAAAGCATTGGGCTGCTAACCACAAGGTTGATTATTCAAACCTACCAGCCACTCTGTAGAAAAAAAAAAAAGATAAGGTAGCCTGCTTCAGTAAAGATTTACAACCATAGAAACTATAGGGGCAGTTCTTTTGTGTCCTTTGGGTTGCTATGAGTCAGAATCCACTTGATGGCAATGGGTTTAATACAATATAACTAAATAGAAACTGCAAAGCAAAATTTTCTCAAGAACAAAATTTGCAGGTCTGATAAAGAAGTAGAAGAAGATAAACATTAAAGAAAGCTACTTTTTCCTGCAGTTAGTGTGATATGCTTACTTTATGTTCTCTGTGTTTTGTATTCTTAACTCAGTTCAATTCAACATGTTTTTTGAGCACTGAAACATGTCAGGCCCTTGGTTGGGTAGGCACTAGGCACACAAGAGGAATTTATTGTGGTCCTTATTGCAGGGAACTAATTCGTAGTCAAAATCAAGAGACTGAACGACATACACCCAAGTAAAATATAATTATTGTTATCAGTGCTATTAAAAAAAAAAAAAGCAACCAAATTCATTGCCATCAGGTCAGGTCCACTTCACAGCGAACCCTCCTTGGGTTTCCGAGGCGGTATTACTACGGAAGTAGATTGCCCAACCTTCCTTTTGAGGAGTAGCTGGTGGGTTTGGACCTCTCTGGTTAGCTAATAAAATGCCTTAGGTGCACTACACCACCAGAGCTTCCTGTCAGTGCTATGCGCAGGTGTTATAGAAGTATTGGAAAAGGAACTATTAGTTGGGCCAGTCAGATTGTAAGAGACTTCACAGAGCATTTCAGCTGGGTCTCTGATGGTAAAGGGAGAGAACAGCTGAAATAAAAGTATGAACTGAGGTATGAAACTGTCAGCACTTCTAGCCATTTAAAACAGAATAACTTTCTGAACAATAGATAGGTATAATATGCTTGGACATGGGGATTTAACATTGGTACAATGAGATACAATTACTGTTTGAAAAGGAGTATAATGGTAATAATGCTGTTATGTGGATCTTTGCTAATTTCATGGCCCATTAAATTTCTTGCAAATTTATAGCATGGTGATATTAGTTTTGTTTCTATTCCACTCTAACTTGTTTAAATGGAAAGCTTATTAAAACATAAAGTACTATAGGAGGTGGAAGAAACCAGTCTGGGTTTCCAAGAATGACTCTGAAAGTAATACTTCAGAATTTGGCAACGAGGGCTGCTGTTGTCTCTGCTGAGATCAGAAACCCAATTGCTGAATTAGGAAGCTATCGTTGTACCTTTGGCTGCAAAATGCACAATCTCTACAGTAATCTCCACCAGGTTGGTAGTTTTAGTTCCAAATCCAAATCTCTTACCAGTGTACCTAATGGGGCAACTGAAATTACATTCAGAATCCTAGATGCAAGGGAGTCTGGGAAATGTCTGTTTTAACTCTGCAGCCTCTACCTACTAGAAGGAGGTTAGAATGCTTCTTGATCCAGTCCACATTGGATTTGTTGTACTTTGGAGACTGAACTTGGTCACCATTGTAAGAAGTCTTAAACAGTACAGTATGTCAGGAAATTAAAAGCCTAAAGAGTTTTGCATTCTTTGTAATTGCAGGTGTTTTAAAACTTAATATGCCCTCTCTGTATCCCCACACCTCTGCATATATGCACACATGTGCACACACAGGTGTGCACGTACACACTTACAGAAGTAATAAATAAACCTAGTAGAAAACAGAAAGAAATAAAAATTACCGGTAACAACATCACAGGGACATGTTGTAGGGGCAGTGTATTGCTATGGAGATATTTTACATGAATTTTCAAAAGTATTCCATTTTAGAAATTACCTGGTATAGTGTATGCAACAAAAACTCTCTTGAGCCTCTTCTTTATCCTTGAACTTCATTTGAACACAAACAACTGTATCATAATAGCAGGTTTTAAAGTTCTGTTTCACCTCACTATCCAGAAATGATCATTTTATTTTTTACTTCCACTCTCTTTGTCTTCCCATGTGACTGTATATATTGTAAGTTTGTACATTTAAATAATCATTTAAGTAGAAAGTACATAGCTAGATACAAAACCAGAAACCAAACTCACTGCCATTGAGTCAATTCCAATCATAGTGACCCCTCCTCGGGTTTCCGAGGTGGTATCTCTACAGAAGTATATTGCCCAGTCTTCTTTCTGAGGAGTGGCTGGTGGGTTTGAACTGCCAGCCTGCTGGTTAGCAGTCAAATGCCTTAGGTACTACACTATACAGACATTTTTATATTTAGTGCTCAATGGTTGTTTTATTCCTTTAGTTTACCTTATTTTTCAAATTTTTACACAGTAAAATTCACTCACTTTGATGTATAGTTCTATAAATTTTGACAAATTCATGCTTGTAAAACATCACCCTAATCAAAACAGAGTACATACCCTCCCCCTCTGTTTTTACCTCCAGCCCTAACCCCAGGCAACCACTGATCTATTCTCCACCTGTAGCTGTGTCTTTTTCAGTATACTGTATAAATGAAACCATATAATATATAGCCTTTTATTTCTGGCTTCTTTCACTTGAGGAGTCCTAGTGGCACAGTGGTTAAAGTGCTCAAACTGCCAACCCAAAGGTCAACTGTTTGATCCCACCAGCTGCTCAGCAGGAAAAAGATGTGGCAGTATGCTCCCATAAAGATATACAGCCTTGGAAACCTTATAGGCAGTTCTACTCTATCCTATAGTGTTGGTAGGAGTCAGAATCAACTCTAAGGTGTTGTTTTGTTTTTGTTTTCTTTCATTTACAGTAATGCACTTAGAATTCATTAGTGTTGTTGCCTATGTCAGTAGTTTATTTGGTATGATTGCTGAGTAGTATTGGATGATATGAATGTACTACAACTGATTTATTCATTCACCTGTTGAAGAACAGTTGAGTTGTTGCCAGTTTGTGTGATTGTCAACAAAGCTTGCTGTAAATACTTGCTTACTGGTTTCAGTAATAATAAATTACTGAATGTAAATTTATATTCTTGGATAAATACTAGCAGTGGAGTTGTTGGGTCTTATGGTAACTATATATTCAACTTTATAAAAACCTGCCTATGGTGGCTTTGTAATGTGTCAGTTTAGCTAGGCAGAGCAACATTTCCCATAGTTCTCTTTGGTACATGTTTCCTGTTAAGGTGACCATGAGAGAAATTCTTAAGTAAAGTTGGACAGTGGAAGTAAAGCAGCAGCTGCTTTTCTGACTCATGACAACTTCATGTGTATCAGAGTAAACAATACTCCATAGGGTTTTTAATAGCTGATTTTTCAGAAGCAAATTGCTCAGCCTTACCTTTGAGACACCTCAGTCATTATCTCTTCAAATATTTTTCTTTTTTATTCTCTTTTCTGTCTTTATAAGACTCCAGTTACCCATTTATTATTTCATGTAATGTTATCCAACAGTTCTTGCTCTGTTCTGCACCCCACCCCACCCCCATTCCCATTTTCTGTTGGTGTTTTGTAAGCTTGTATCAGCCTTATTAACCTATCTTCCAGTGAAAGGAAACCCGGTGCACAATGGTTAAGCACTGTACTGCTAACCAAAATGTTCGCGATTGAAATCCAACCAGTGGCTCCCATAGAGAAAGACCTGGCTATAACCAAACCACAGAAGGAAGGTTGTGTAGTCTACTTCCATAGTGATACCGCCGCAGAAGCTCAAGGAGGGGTCACTATGATTTGGGACTGATTAGACGGCATATAACAACAACAACATAACCAAACCAAACCCAAACTCACTGCTGTCAAGTCGGGTCCAACTC